AGAACTTTTCTTTAGCTTCTGTTACATGCTTTATAATTTTTTTTCCTTAGACTAATTGATATCTATTGTGAGATTCTATATTGAATATCTAGGTTTCCTATTTTCTCTTCTTATAATAACTCAAGAAGATATCACATACAAAATAACTAGTGGTTCTTTCCAGTGGGGTCTGAAAGTCCAATCATCATTTATAGAGCACCTGCTATATATAAAAAGTGATAAGCATGGTGGTTGAAACATTGAGAAGGGTAAATGAGCATGTAAAGTGTTTAAACACCCATTTTAAGAGGGTGTTAAGAATCATGGATCATTAAAGACAGACTGCTGAGGGCCTATTTGCATACAAGGGCTTCAGTTTTCTAAGGGATAAACGCTAAGGCAAAATCTGATTTTTTTGAGTGATATACAGCAGTACTAGATAAATGCTCCCCTAGCTAGTTGGTAAATATTCTCCCAACAGAGAATTCCCCCAAAGTTAAGAGAGAATTGAAATACGTACTTCCTATTAGTGAAAAAATGCATTTGTTCAAATCTCCCTTTTCTAGTTGTGGGGAATTTAAGTTTCTAAAAGAGCTATTATGATCATTTAAAGATAAAGGTCACTGAATTTTTAGTAATAGTAGTAATTTAATGTTTATTATGTACTGTTTTAAGTGCTTTACATGTATTAACTCATTTAATCCTATAAATGTCTTATATAGGTGTTGTAGAAAAGACCACCAGGATGGCTAAATAGTAGAAAAGAGAGCTTTATTGGTGGTATCAGTCTACAAACCAGGAAAAGAGAGTTTCCAGCGTGGACTGAAGGTGCTCTCTATTTGAAAAGGGAAGGGGGAAAATTGGGTTTTATGCCTCACAGTCCATATTACAGAATAGTCATAAATATTCACCAGGTTTGGGGAAAATGCCATATATATGTATGTGTGTGTATATATACACACACATGGAGTGCAGTTCATGTGCAAATGGGTTAACCTATATGTAACACACATCCTGTGTTCACTTTGGGGTTTCAGCATTAAAATGAGGTGGAGTTTGGCTCTTTACATCAAAGGTTCAACTATAGGACACAATGACAGTTTGTGTGCAGTTGCTATAAGCTGGCTGAAACTGACTTGAGGTTGGCGGTCGCCTATCAGATAGGAATGTTTGTAAGGCCAGTCCTCAGTCCAGCCAGAGTTGTAGTGATCTGGGTTGTAATTCAAAGTTAGGAGGGGTCTGATAATTTGCCTGATAGCTCCTATTGTCAGGGAGTTTAGCAACAATGTGATTTTTCTTGTAGCCACAAGAATTTAGAAATTTGCCTTGTTAGCTTGGCCCTGAACCCTTGACCTGTAGGTAACTTTTGTTTCCTTAACCTTGGGGTCCGTCTTAGTTGGTAAAGGGGTATCTATTTTGGTCTCTCAGATCAGATAGATTAACTGCGTACTTGCTTATGGAGAAGAAGTACTATTTTTATCTTTGTTTTAGAAAACAGGAAACTGAGGCACAGAAATTCATACAACTCAGAGCTGGGGTTGACACCTGGTTACATCTCTTCTAAAGACTGTGTGCTTAAGCACAGAATTTCCTAACTCATTGAGGATACCTGAAAAGAGACGCTCCAGGAGGAGCTGAGACTGCACTGTATGGTAGAAAAGAACAGGGGATAATATAGTCAGAACTCTGTTCAGTTTTCAGCACTACAGTTTAATAGATGTGTAACTCCAATAAGTTATTCTCTTCAGCTTCAATTTCCTCATTTCCAAATAGGGAGCCAGGTTTATAATTTGTAATACCAATATCAACTTTTTGTTACTATCGAATAGACTTAAAAAGAGTTTTCTAGATCATTTATTACTATTGTGACTTTTTTTTAATAAAAATAATTGTGGACATAGAACTTAAAGTACCTATGATTGTCAGCCTATGAATAATCATGTCTAAAACTGGTAGGATTGACAGTAACAAATGTTAGGTACCATGTAAATTTAAGTTAAACTGGACTTTTCCTCAAGTGTCTGAAGATTTTGCCAAATGAGGCAGATTAAATACCTATATGTTTACAGGCAACACGAATTATTAGGGAAAAGGGTTTTTTTGTTTTGTTTTGTTTTTTGAAGTTTGTCAAATGCAAAATAATGCTACTTTATTCCAAGCTATCATTTTAAAATTTGTATTTTATATTTTGAAATAATCTGAAAGATGCAATAAAGTTGCAGGTATAATACAAAGAACATTTTTTAAAAGTCATTTGCATATAAGTTGCCCTATCATCCCTGAATACGTTAGTGTGTATTTCCTAGGAATATGCACATACTTAACCATGTTGCAGCTGTCAACGTTAGGAAATTCACAGGGCGTGGTAGCTCACACCTGTAATCCTGGCACTCTGGGAGGCTAAGGTGGGAGGATCACTTGAGGCCAGGAGTTCGAGATCAGCCTGAGCAAGAGTAAGACCCCATCTCTACAAAAAATAGAAAAATTAGCCAGGCGTGGTGGTGTGTGCCTGTAGTCCCAGTTACTCAGGAGGCTGAGGCAGGAGGATTGCTTGAGTCCAGGAGTTTGAGGTTGCAGTGAGCTAGGGCTCTCCTGTCTCAGGTGATCTTTGGGAACCTTGGTATTTCTTGTTCACAAAGAGAATTTGCTTTATTTTTATCAATTAAAAGAGGCTAAGACTTGAAGTGGCTGAAGAGCTCAGATTTTTATTTCTTCATACATCTTTGAGTTACTATTGACTGTCCTTTTATTTCATCCTGCAGGACTCACTTAAGCATTTCTTGCATGACAATTCTGGTGGTAATGAATTACCACAGCTTTTGTTTATCTGGGAATGTCTTAATTTTTTCCTTGCTTTTAAGGGACTGTGTTACTGGATATAAGATTCTTGGTTGACAGCTTATTTTCTATTAGCACTTCAAATATACCAACCCACTGCCTTGGGCCTCCCAAGTTTCTGATGATAAATCTGCTGATAGTCTTATTGAGGTTCTCTTGCATGCAACAAATTGCTTCTCTCTTGCTGCTGTCAAGATTCTCTGTGATTTGTCTTTCAAAAGTTTGAGTATGTCTTGGTGTGGGTTTCTTAGGATTCATCTTATTTGGAGTTCATCGTGCTTCTTGGTTGTTTATATTCACATTTTTCATCAAATTTGGAAAGTTTTCAGCCATTGTTTTTTCAAATATTCTCTCTGTCCGTTTCTCTCTTCTTATTGTAGGACTTTCACACTTGGTATTTGGTCTGATTGATGGTGTCCCACAGGCTCCTTAGGGTCTCTATACTTTTCTTCAATCTTTTTTCTTTCCATTCTTTAGACTTGATCCTTTCTGTTCTTCTGTCTTCAAGTTCATGGACTCATTCTTTTGCCTGCTCAAATCTGTCTTTGAATCCCTCTAGTGAATTTTTTATTTCACTTATTATACTTTTCATTTCTAGAATTTCTTTTTGGTTTCTTTTTAGGTTTTCTGTCTCTTTATTGATGTTGCCATTTTGTCTATACATCATTTTCTTGACTTTTTCCACATCTTCATTTAGATTTTTGAGCATACTTCAGACAATTTCTAAAAAGCCTTTGTCTTTACTCTGCCATCAG